CAACGCCACTCTGCTGGCCATCCTGATGTGTGGCACCCTTCTCGCCCTTGCCAGCCTGATCACACTTCGTCTTGCCCTTGCCAGCCTGATCACACTTCGTCTTGCCAGCCTGATCACACTTCGTCTTGCCCTTGCCAGGCTGATCACACTTCGTCTTGCCCTTGCCCGGCTGATCACACTTCGTCTTGCCCTTGCCAGGCTGATCACACTTCGTCTTGCCCTTGCCAGCCTGATCACCCTTCTTGTCCTTGCCAGACATCTGATCCATGGTGTCTCTGCTCGGATCCACAGCATCGGCGCCGTTCGAGCCTTTGCCACCCGACTGGTGGGCACCCTTTGCGGTACCCTTCTTGCCTTTGCCTTTATGATCCAAGCCACCCTTGACAGCACCTTTGGTACCCTTCGCGGCGCCACTCGGATCCACGGCGCCCTTAGCGCTCGGATCCACCGCACCCTTTGCGGTGCCCTTAGTGCCTTTTTTAAAGGCACTCGGATCCACGGCACCAAGCGTACCCGCATTCTGATCCTCAGCGGGGCCCTTAATGCCTTTGCCTGTCTTGCCCTTGCCCTTAGCCATCGAACCATTGCCACTCTGATCCACGACATCGGCGGCATTGGAGCCTTTGCCATCGGACTGATGCACAGCTCCCTTCGCGGTACCGTTCTTGCCTTTGCCGTTCTGATCCAAGGCATCCTTGGCACCCTGATCCACACCGGCACCTTTGACACCCTTCGTGCCAATCTGAGCCGGCTCCTCACCACCTTTATTGCTTCCCTTGCAACCGTGGCCCTTGGGGGTACCCGTGCCTGCTAGCTTCGGGTCGTTCGGCGCGTGGGTTGGGGATGCATTCGGGTTCGGCCTGGTTGGCGGTGTGCCTGATGCCAAGCATTCGGTGCTGCGCCGCTTGGGTGTGGGTGTCTCAAAGTCTCCGCGTCCTTTGCCACAAGTATTTGGGGGAGAGGAACCGCTGGGTGTGTCTCCCTTGTTTCCCTTTCCTTTGTCCGCGGCCTTTCCCGAAGACTTGCCTTTGCCCTTTTCAGCATCCCCTTTCATGGCCCCCTTGCATCCTTTGGTGTGCTTGCCCTTCGTCGCTCCGGGATTTTCTGCACCCGTGGCTGGGACTTTGCCGACATACACATAATGTCGGGGTTGCACTTCTTCCGATACACACTTCTCTTCGGGGCTGCCCGGGCAGCCGGCTGCGCTGCCTTTCTTGCCCTTAGCACTTCCCTTTCCCATGGCGGGACTAGGATAATAATCTGGCCTGAGCACTCGATCGCGGCTGTATATAGCATGCTATAAATATCTAACAGCCGATACACGCCGATACACGCTAACCGGCCGTTTGAACGGCCGCTTACACGCAGATACACGCCGATACACGCGGATGCTTTTAATATTCAGAAAACACACATCAAACAGAACATCCTGTGTTGTCCTTCTTTTATAACCGCCGACCATCGTCCAAGCCACAAGAGGTATAGCCGATCCCCCAAAATTGACTTGTCGATCTAGCCGTCGACTAGATACCGCTGAAACCACTAGACAAGGCTTGGCTCTCGGCACCTATAAGGTCCTCGAGGCCAGAATCAGAATCATCATCACCCACGGTGTCTGCCAGCTGCATATCCATCTCATCCGAAGCATGCGTTGCTGGCGAAGTTCGTAGGAGCTCCGACACATTTGCAGCAACCTAGAGTAGCGTTGGACTCGCATAGATTTTGATTGTGGACATGCATCACGCTGCTGCAGATAAGACACCCTCAAAGCCATGTTCCCAGGATAAACCCCCGTGCTTGTAAGATCTTTGCCACCGACCTCAACAGGTCGAAGGCTGCTGCTGTGTATAGGTGAGTGCCAAATTAACATCAGCCCAGGCACACGTTTCCTCTGACCTTCACCATCGACATAGCCGCGGGATATGTCCAGCTTGAGGAAGCTCTGGATGCGCCGGATTTGCTTCCTGGTATATACGTACCGATCATCGAGGTGGCCGGTCTAATCTTTGCATATGCTATATAAGAGGCACGTACCTAATCCGATCCGAACACGTTAGGCACAACTCTCGAAGTATAAGTGTATTCGTTAATACATTAAGTTGGTTTGTTATCTTGAAGTTCGACTATTAAAGTTACCTTACAAAGAACTTGAAATTCGGATGAGTCTGCGCTGGACAATGTGGAAGGTATAGATGGGGGCGGGGTGGTGTGCGTTCACGAAATATATGATGGTGCCACAAGTGTTTGTTTACTTTACGCTAATGGATCATATATATGGCCTCGTCCTGACATACCAGCTCTGGACTCAAGACATCTAAGAGGTTTGGGTTGTGTGGTTGTTGTTTCTTGGGTCTAATTTGTAACGGTTCAAGGCTTTAGGATTTGGGTTCGGTTGTGTAGCGTGCATATGTATTAACATACACACACCTTCTCAACTAAGGGCGTTTATTAGGGCCTTGGGCTAGGGCTTTCGGGCTTAGGGTTTATGGTCGGCGCTTTGGGGCTTTAGGGTTAGGGGCTTTGGGGGTTTGGGGTCTAGGGTTTCTAATTGGAAACTTTAGGACTTCAACTTTAAGGGTTAGGGTGCAAAACCAGGCTGCCCAGCTATCACAGCGGTCCTCCGTTCCCCTGTAAGTTGCTGGTAGAGCTCGCGAAGAAACGGCGCTGTTCCCCATAGTGTAACCTGACAAAAGCTGGAATCGCCATCGAAATTTAGGGTTTGGATAGCAGCTCTACAGAAACTTTGATGTAGCGATAATGTCGGGAGACGCATTTCGGAGAGGGTGCACCCAGGGCACCGAGGCATAGGTTCACAGTGACGGCCTTGTGCGCCCGCAGTCGGGCCTTAATTGGGATTGTGTATAGGCTAGTGTACACATAATATAAAATGTATGTATGTATGTATATATATATATATATACATGTATATGTATATATAGCCGATAGTAACCGAGGTGCTTTTATGCAGGGGAGCTCAAAAAGCATGCTGCCGGTGGGGTTCTCCAGGATGTAATGGGAGCCAGATTTGTAATGGTACTCCATCCTCAGATAGCTTCAATTATACTCTCGGATATGCAGGCCTGCAACAAACAATGTCATCGGCTATGTTTGCAGCTTGGCAACATGTATGCAACTCGTCGTGCAAGTCGGTTGGCGGTCTTGACTTTCGGTAATCGGCGATTGCCTGCACGAGACTGTTCTGTAGATTTAGAATTGGAAGGGATGGTCCGGCCTTTGACATTCAGCCTCTTGCGTTTGGAGCTTCCCCGGCTCCTAATTTGATCGGTCGGCAGAACTTGTCTCAATGTATGCCGAAAATAGCTTCTACAGATTTGCAGCTAAAGCTCATAAAGATCCAGCTGCTGCAGGGCACGGCGTACCAAGCCACGCCTTGTGGACGAAGTCTCCTGGCCTGAGTTAGGTGAACACCGCACATAATATAACTGACCGCATCCAGAGAGTATGCCTCCGAGTTGCGAGGTGCAGGCAAGTTAGGAAGCCGAAAGCAGTCAATAAGTCGAGTTTCCTCGAATAGCTCACCTCAGCTAGCTCTCTCTAAAGCTCGAGTATCGTGGGATCCCAGGCTCAGTATTGCAGAACAGGCTCGTCGATGCCGTGCGCTCGCAACCCGTACAACTTGGCTGCAGAGTAGAGCAAGTGCTCTCCTGGAGTGGGTCTAGTGTAGATGTGCTTCTGTTTTTTTTTGTTTTGCGGTGCGGCCGGGTCATGCTTGTGTTGGTATACAGATTGGATATTTGCGACTCAGGAAGAAAATATGAGTGGTGGGTGATTCGTGGTCCTACGTCCACTGTAGCTATCCTGCTTCCAGAGCCCCGCCTGCAAAGACCTCTAAGAAGTCGAGATCGTTGGATCTCGGCCCGAAACCTGGAGACATGATAGCTGGAGCTCAGGATCCTGGAATGCCCACCCGAGTGATGATCGATCCCATCGGTGCTGTCGAGTGGCTCATGTGGAGTGTCGCGATCGCAACCAAGAGCCGCGTGAACAACATGCTGCTTCTACACTAAATTAAGTATTTTGCAAACATTGCGAATATCCTAAATCTTCGGATCGCACTATATGGGATTTTGGACTGGGTCGATCTACAGCAAGTGCAGTACCCCAACTCTAAAGCGCCCTGATACATCCATCTCCAAAGCAGCCGAAATCTGAGCAGCAAACACACTCACACTATAAAGGCTAGAGTCATTGCAGTTGGCACTCATATTGCACAAGTGTTTTGCAAAGCCTCCAGTTCCCCGATCACAGATCTCCAGAATCGCATCTCCACGAGCTCACAGTATGCAGAGACTGTGTGCTAGCATACTGCTGCCATACGTTGCGGGTTCGAAGCCCCCTGCGTTGGCTAACTACAATTTAGAGATCTATATGATCAGTACACATGCATAGGCTCGAATAGTTAACTATATGCAGTCAACGCAATCCCCAGCTTCGGAGGCATGGTACGGCGCCGCAGCAAATCAAGCACACCGAATTGCAACAAAACTACGCCCAAAAGCCACTTAAATGTATCGGCGGCGTTTGCGCTCGTTGACGCTGAGGGTGTCCATGATGTCCTGGTGCTCTTTTGACTGCTTCCACCTGCGGACAAGGAAGCACCCTATGTTGTCAAGCTTCTTGGCCTCAGCCCCAGCTTAAGGAATCCCGACTATAAAGGAACCAAATATTGAGTTTAGGCCAATACCAACCAGAGCCTATGTATATAGTTCCAAATGAATTACGCTTATATACATATATATATATATATCGAACGGTAGTCCATCAGCTCTACCCAACGCAAAGCTCCTTCGAAGATCGCTTGCGTTGACACCAACACATCATGTCCGTGCACATGCGCAGACAACGATGTAACCGCAATGGCAATTTGGGATTCTACCTAGGCTGCAAACGGATAATAGAATGTCTTGACTTCATGTAATTATGTAAGAACGCTTCGTGCTATTTAGGCTATCATGATAGTCATGATACCGGGAGTGCCCCTCAACAGAGTCTTCATGTTAAGCTTCATAGCCAATCCCAAACCGATATAACATAATGATTTTCGCTTTTCAAGCCTTCAAGCAAAGAACAAATAGCGAAATCCGAAGCTTATGTGTTCACCGAAATCAAAGTCCACTTCATAAGTTTCTTTGGACCACAGACGTGCGGCAACTCGCAATGGATGAGAGCTGTTGCTGCCGAAGCAAACGAGTTGGCGGGTTGCTGGCACTGTCCCAGGAGCTTTTTTTCCTGGTTTCGTTTCCTTGATTTATAGCTCTCGATCTCGACTTCTCTGTCAAGCTCGAAATGATTCTATCTCCTTCTCTCCAACCCTTGACTGACTGTCTGTTGATTATCCATCATATAAGCCGTCAGTCTTAAGCAACAGATCAAGGATGGTATGCACATAAATTCCATTTCCATGCCTATCTCGATCGACTCTCCTCATTAGTTTGCGGTCGTCTGCAGGGGTTTGGCTTTAAGGTCTCCGGTATCCCGAATGCTTGTTTGCGCGTATTACCACACAGTATTAGATGTACATATATGTGCACATATACAGATCTTCGAGCTTTGAGTCACCCCCACACTCACTCATCGAAACACCGATTCCTCACTCGATCACTAGCTCACTCATGCACGCAGACATGTGCACACACACACACAC